TGGTACTGCTTTTTCATTTTAGAAAGCACAAATCTGCTTATGAATTATAAAAATGAGTAAGACCGCTAAAGCGCAAATGAAATATTTATGTCTGTAATTTGCGGATTTGTGTTTTAGTGGGCTGGTGCCCACCACTGGTAAACATAATGCCACAGTAAAGGTATCGTTCCCATTTCATATGAAAAGGGAGCGATGCAGTGCAGCAAAGTAGTTCTTAGTTAGAACAAGTTCTACAGCTACAGGTAAAACAAAGAAACAAACAAAACCTAAAGTTGAAAATATTTGACTGTGTTCTTTCTGAAAGCAGCTGTTAATGTGGCCTTTGATAAACTCAGTGTATTTATGGTTGTTTTTCAGACAAGTACTCTTTGACTCCACAAGTTCATAAACCGAGAAGTGACATAAAAAGGGCAGAGATTGGTAAGAGTCCACTTCAACACACAGATCATCGTTAAAGTATTGTTTTTTATAGTTTCCTTTAAACCAAAAGTTTTTTTCTCATCCTAATAAATCCAAGTGCATTCATTAAAGGGGCTATATCATGTAAAATCAACTTTTTAGAGTTTTATATCATATTATAATGTTATCCTCTCATCAACAAATGTTTTTAATAACAACTCAAGGTGACATAGTTACTTTATTATGGTATAGATTTTAATTATATGCCTGAGAAACACATAATATTGTCCCTTTAATTTCTGACTGAACACAAACACAGCTGAAATAGATAAGTGATGATGTTGATGTTTAAAAACTCAGAAATGACAGAATGAAAACAAAAATATGAAACATTATTTTCTGCTCTGTTATACAGCTTTAAAGTCAGAAAATCAATATGTAAAATACTGATTTTAACTAGTCTACATAATCTACAAACCCATCTACATAAAATAATATAATAAAGTGTGAAMAATAGTTATATTAAGTATAATTTGTGTTGTTGTGCGTTTAGGATCAAACTTTACGACGAGCTGTTTGGTGTTTGTGCCTGGGGTTGGAACACCGTTTGTTGAGGTGTTTTGGTTGACCGGAGAAAATGTCATTTTTACCACTGATCCCTCTGTTCGTGTCTACACGTCCAAACGGTTCGTACCTCCTGAGTATAATGTTTGTTATTCATGGACCAACACACAGAGTTTATGTAACATTTTAAATCCCTTCAGCAGGGTCACTTTTTCTTTTGTTTGTTTTGTTTGTAACAGTTTGTGGACTCAACATGAGCCTACAGGAGTGTGGATAGAACGACTTCTCGTGATCTCTGAGCTGAAGRAGGAGGACTTTAACATCAACTACACCTGCAGGGTGTACAGCTCCCGGGGCAGCCCGTGTGGATATTTGACTTTGCTACAGCCAGGTAAACACGCTGCAGTACAATTATACAAATACTATAAGTAAATACAAATAATTCATGTTATTTTAAGTGGTCAAATCTCTTCAGAAAAATCTGTTTTACCTTCCATAACAAATCTACAACATAATGTTTTTGGTTAACATGGGCCAAAGTTGCTTTTTACTTCAATTCAATTCAAAAAATTTATTCATTTCATTAAAAACAAAATAACCATATACAATAGAAACTAAGAAAATACACAAATAAAAAATCAAAATAAAATGAAAGGCAGCAGAAGAAGAATAAATCTTATGTCTGCCTCTTTTATCCCCAATATATGTTCAAAGAATCTTATTCTGTTGATGATTTAACAAATACAAACTAAATTAGTACAAATAGGCACTACTGTAAAACTTTTATACAGTAAAATCCTTGAACACTGAGTCAACTCTGCAGCTGGTTTTCAGTTTACAACTTCTGACCATGAAGAGACTTTTATTGGAAACCTAAATTTCCTCACCAAAGCCATTTTAAAAGCTAATTAAACTTTTAGCTCAGGCTGTTTTCAACTTTTTGGAAAGTTTATTTATTTATAAATTAAAGTAAAAATATCAGTAGTTTTATTTTTCACATTTGACCAAATCACCACCAGACTTAAACCCAGAGGTTTTAACTGCAGGAAAAACATTTTGTAAGAGAATCTAGAAAAGAATAATCATGTGGTGACTATTTAACACAAAAAAATGCTCATTTGGCTGCTATTCAACTCTTTAGCTACAAAATGGAGACCTTTCAACTAAAACATGTRAGGATTTTGCAGAATGACCCAGGGCGCAGGCAAAATCCAAGGTTAAAAAAATAGTTTATTTTAAACAAAAATAAACAGCTGTTAAGGCAGCAGAACTCACAGAGGCACGAGGAACATGAAGGACACCTCACCGGCTGAGGGAAGCAGCACAGTGAACCATAGATATAATAGGACTAGATACCGGAACCACCACTACGGCCTATTGGAGCTGACGAGACGTGGGGCGGCCATCTTAGAACGGTCTCCCGCTCCACTCAGTGTGATCAGTGTAGCAGCACAATGAAGTATCAACACGTTTAATAAATCATAACTCACTGAATACTGAAGTGACGGTCACGCCTTTTCTTTAGCTGCAAACCTTATTACATACTGCTACATGTGTAAGAGCACATAGTTGTGTGTATTTTTAAATATTATTGGGGTTAAAGGTAATATTTTGCAAAACAAAGTGATCCATGCATGTGTATACCCACACACACACACACACACACACACACACACACACACACAC